TCGGCGGTGGTTGGAGACCAACAACACAGCAGTCGCACTAATCCAGGAGCCGTGGATTAGGAGTGGCACGGTGCGAGGACTCTCCAGTATAGGAGGTAAGCTCGTTCAAGCCACTACTAGCGACGTAAGGTCCTGCATATACATTTCCAAAAACATCAGAACACAGCCCTTAATGAATTTCTGTTCCAGAGATCTCTGCGCTGTAAAACTGACCCTAAACCAAGATAATAACAGTTGTGACGTGATCATAGCCTCTGCATATATGCCTGACAGCGAGCGGGCCCCACCAGAAAACGTTGCGTCTCTGGTCCGCTTCTGTGCTCGGGAAAACGTAGATCTGATCATCGCGACAGACTCCAATGCCCATCACCCTGTGTGGGGAATGGAACAAAGCAACAACAGAGGTAACCAATTATTTGAATTCCTTCTGACTACTAACCTAGAGTTAATCAACACAGGCAATGAACCTACCTTCGTAGGCAGACGGTGCAAGACCATCATAGACCTGACCCTCGCGACACCAAGAGCGGCAACAGCTATATCTGGCTGGCATGTCTCCAATGAGGCATCATGCTCAGATCATCGCTGGATCCGTTTTACACTACAGGTAGGAACTCTACCTCCTACACCCCAAAGGTACCCTCGGAAAACCGATAAACACCGCTACGCACAACTACTGGCGGACCTTCTAAGAAACAACTCCGGTAAGGGCAGAATTGAAACCACGGAGCAGCTAGAACAACAGGTAAAACACTTGTCGGACAGCATAACGCGTTGCTACGAAGAGGCCTGCCCCCTTAGACTCCCGAACTCGAGAGTATCCGGAAAACACCACTGGTGGGGGCCGGAGCTCGAGAGATTGAGAGGAAAGGTGAGGAAGTGCCTTAACAGAGCAATGAATACATGCAGCGACACAGACTGGGACAACTACAAAGCTACCAAAGCTAAGTACAAAAAACGTATTAGATACTGGAGAACAGCCTCCTGGAGGAACTTCACCGAGGAGATAAGCTCCACCAACCAGGCAAACCGGGTAAGGAAATTGCTGGCCAAGCAAGGCCCTGGCGTGCTGGGAAGCCTGCGTCGACCTGACGGCACATTGTCCCACAATCGTGCTGACTGCGACGCTATCCTCCTAGAAACCCACTTTCCGGACTGCCAGCTTACAGAGCAGGTGACTTGGCAAGATGAACCTCCAAGTACAACAGAAGGATGCTGGAGACTAGCAGAGACGGTAATTACGCCTGAGGGAGTAAAGTGGGCTATCAACTGCTTTGCGCCTTTCAAATCTGCTGGCTCTGACGGCATCTTTCCAGCACTACTACAATGGGGCGGACAGGACGTGGTCGATGCGGCTACTCGTATACTAAGATCATGTCTGGCTCATCGGTACACTCCACATCTGTGGAGGGAGGTCAAGGTAGTATTCATACCCAAACCGGGTAAAACCGACTATACTAACCCTAAATCCTTCAGGCCCATTAGCCTAACAACCTTCTTACTTAAGACAATGGAAAGGCTATGTGACAGATACCTACGCAGTGGAGCATTAATCAATGCCCCACTACACAAACATCAACATGCCTACAGTTCAGGTAAATCTACTGAATCGGCTCTCCATCAGTTAGTCGGTAAGATAGAAGAAGCCCTTCAAAATAAACTTATCTGCCTCGGAACCTTCATCGATATAGAGGGTGCTTTCGATAAGACCAACTTCACCAGCATTGAATCTGCCCTCAGGAGACACGGAGTAGAGCAACAAATCATTGACTGGACAGTTAACATGCTTCGCAATAGAATAGTTCGGGTAAAAGGTGATGACAGCAGAGGAGCAGTGGTGGCACGAGGATGTCCGCAAGGAGGGGTCCTCTCGCCACTTCTGTGGAACCTCGTAGTTGACGACCTGCTGACCAAGCTAAACTCGAACCACTACTACACCATAGGGTATGCAGATGACATTACTATACTTACCCTAGGCACCCACGCCAGCATTACCTGTAACACCATGCAAGGTGCTCTGAAAATGATTGAATGCTGGTGCAGGAAATACGACCTCGCAGTTAATCCAACAAAAACAGAGCTGGTAATGTTTACAACCAAACGTGACGTAGGTGCTTTCAACTTGCCGAAGCTGTTTGGTATCACACTACAACTGTCGAAGGAGGTAAAGTATCTAGGCCTTATACTTGACAGTAAGCTAAACTGGAGTAACCATGTGGAACACAAAATCAAGACAGCCAGCGTAACACTTTGGCAATGTCGTCAAATGTTAGGGAAGCGCTGGGGTCTTGCACCAAAACTGTTCCTATGGTTATACTACACAGTCATACGACCAATGGTAAGTTATGGCGCCATCATATGGTGGCCGAGATCTATCCAGACTACTTGTGTCAACAAACTACAAAGCTTCCAGCGGCAGATATGCAGCGCGGTGACCGGGTGCATGAGTACAGCTCCAACCGCAGCACTGGAAGTTATTTTAAACATCACACCGCTCCATATCTACATAAGACAGGAAGCGGCTAAAACAGCGTTGAGACTACAAAAGTTTGGACTGGTAAGGTTCGAAAGAGCAAAGCATCTCAACGGTATACTGAAGGAATGGGTAAACACTCCGCTCATAGATGCTGCATGTGACAAAATAATACCCGCCTTCATATTTGACAAAAAGTATAGAATACATCTACTGGATGACAACGATCCAAAGGTAACACACAAGGCTCTCATGATCTACACCGACGGCTCTAAAACCTCATCGAGCACGGGCGCGGGTGTTTTCTCTGAGGACCTCAACATACACATCGCGTTCCCCTTAAGCCCATACAACACAGTTTTCCAAGCTGAATGTATGGGCATCACACTGGCGGCAACAGCGATCCTTTCAAGAAAGGTAACAGGTCAGGAAATACGAATACTGTCCGACAGTAAATCAGTCCTACAAGCTCTAGATGCCTGCTTAGCCAGATCGAGCCTCCTACAGGAATGCCACCAAACCTTAAACAAGGTAGGGTCAAGCAATTCCATCACCATCCAATGGATCAAGGGACACAGTGGATCACGCGGAAACGACGCTGCGGATGAGCTGGCCCGGAAGGGATCTGACACGACCCCAACAGGTCCTGAACCAATCGTCCCAATACCGGTAAGCTGTCTCGTCAATAAAATCCGCGAGCACACTGCCGAACTACACCAACAATACTGGCTCGACCTGGAGACGTGCAGGCAGACCAAGCTCGCTTTGCCACGGGTGAACGCTGCCTTCTCCAAAACTCTCCTACAGCTAAGCAAACCTACATTGCGCATGGTAACGGGTGCTATCACTGGACATGCACATTTTAACAGACATCTTTTTAACTTAGGTGTCACGGACAGCCCCCTATGCAGAGGATGCATGGAGGCAGAAGAAACAGCTACTCACGTTCTGCTGGAATGCAACGGAGTGGCCGAATACCGGGCGAAATACCTCGGCTCACCGGGAAACCTTCAAGAGGCAGTCACCAATGTGAAGGCCCTGGGGGCGTTCCTGGGGGAGCTGGGCTGGCTGGAGTGATTCCGGCCACACACCCTCCTCACGCAAAACAGGCGCCATAAGGACGTCGAGTTGCGGAAACGCCCGTAGCAAGAAGAAGAAGAAGAAGAAGTCTTCGACCAGTGCGTCCTCCCAGTTATGACATACGGCGCCGAGACGTGGACACTCTAGGCTGGACTGGTCCACCAGTTTAAAGTCGCTCAGAGAGCTATGGAAAGGGCTATGCTCGGAGTATCCCTGAAGGACCGCATCAGAAATGATGTAATCCGACAGAGAACCAGAATCACCGACATAGCCCACCGAATTAGCAAACTGAAGTGGCAGGGGGCTGGTCACATTAGCCGCAGAACTGACGGGCGATGGAGCCGTAAAGTTCTTGAGTGGAGACCGCGACTCGGTAAACGTAGTGTGGGACGCCCTGAGACAAGATGGGATGATGACATTCGTAGGCTGGCTGGAGTGGGCTGGATGAGAGTGGCAGAAAATCGGGAGCAGTGGCGTGCATTTGGAGAGACCTATGTCCAGCAGTGGACTAGCATGGGTCGATGATGATGATGATGATGATGTTGTAAAGCGCCCGTAAGAGTTGCGGGGTCCTCGGTGGGTATCCACTAGGGTTTCTGTAAGACTTGCGGTAGCCAGGTGTGAGGTCCGTTCGGCGGTGTGCCTCCTAAAGGCGCCATCGTCTGTAAAAAGATTTTTTACCTGCGTTATAAAAAAACTAAAAAGGTATTTTACTCGGTAGAAAAAGCGGAAAACTTACTTAGAGGATTTCATCTGGGTAAGGCATTGAAGCAGGACGTGTTATTCGTTTCTCTGATTTTCATAGTCGTTAGCCCGTATTCGGGTGCACGAAAGTCTTTTTTTTTTTTTTTTTTACTTTACTCCAATTCTGGCACTAAAAGCAGTATTTACACTGGAATACGGGCTGGAAGACGGTGTCGGATAAACAAAACGAAAACTACCCGCATACGGGCGTATACGACTAAGTGTAAATGAACGGAGTCGTCGTTTACACTTAGCCGTTCACCCGAATCCGATTGGCAATCGTATCGGGCTAACTAACGACCAGGAATAATTATGCAATTCGAGTAAAAACTAATGAAAATATTTCATGGGGTGCCCGTATTATAGACGACCTCCGTGGCCGAGTGGTTTGTACGCCGGGTTTCATGGTGTCACCGACTCGAGAGGTCCCGGGTTCGAATCCCGGTGGGGGCAGATGTTTGTGTGATGAATACGAGCATTTGTACTTCAGTCATGGATGTTTCATATTATATATGTACAGTATATGTATTCAATCCGTTACCCTAGTATCCCATAACACAGGCCTTATAGTGCTTACTTTGGGGCTAGGCTAATTGGTGTGAGTGTTGGAAATATTTATTTATTTATATTTATTTATGTCTTTCGTGCACCCGAATACGGAGGTAATGTAATTGCGCCATAAGGATTATTATTACAATTGCAGAGGCATGTCTTGGGGTGCGGCATCTTCAGGCCCTGATGCTGTTCTTGGCGATGGTGCTCGCGTTTGGAATGCGAGTCAACATGAGTATGGCCATCGTCGCCATGACAGACCCGGATAACGAAAATGTGAGTTTAGTTTCTTTTAATAAAACACTGTGTCACTTATCTCGCTAGCTCGATGGTGCAAGTGAACGGAAGATCGAAATTCCATTTATATCATGATTGAAGTAAATTATTGTTTTTATTGTCGTTGTTTTCCATTGATCTCAGTCTTAGTCTTAGTCTTAGTAGTACGGCGGGCTGTTTCCGCAACTCGACACCCAGTGCCTATTTTGCGTGGGGATGGCATCAGTCCTGCCATCCCAGCTCCTCCAGAAAGCTCAGCAGTCCCCGGATGTTGCTGCAGGCTTCTACTAGTGTCCGCGGGCTTCCCATTAGAGAAGTCCTTTGTCTTGCAACGCCTCTGCACTCCTGCAGAACATGGGCGCTCGTCTCCTCCTCCTCCAAGCAGGCTCTGCACAGAGGGCTGTCAGAAATACCTATATTATAAAGGTGTTTGTTGAAGTAGCCGTGACCCGTGAGTATACCCACGATTTGTTTCAGGGCTTGTCCATTGATCTTTTATTATAATTATACGTTATTACCTTTTTTTTTAATTTTTTTATTTATTTGCCAGTAATAAGTCCCGTACCAGTTCTCAACAATATTAGCAACCCGATAATTATATCGTCGACATTAAAGACCTGCGCGCAAGATCTACAACTCTACGAATCTGTGACGGCCTGTTATGTCAGAAGTCAGCCCCCCTAGCATGACTAACAAAACGCGATATGCTATAGCGATTTATCGACACTCAACTGTCAAACTCTATTGTAGTTTGACAGTTAATGTCGATAAATCGCTTTATCATATCGCGTTTTGTTACTCATGCTAGGGGGGCAGAAGTCTTTATTTGCATAAAATATGGTGTTAAATGGAACGCCGCATGAGTCATGTTTTCTCGTGCGTGCAGCCGGCTCCATCGAATTATAAGACGTTGTCACGTCAAAACCATCCCCAGGTTATATCGACGTATGCATAGAATAAAGTTACATATGAAAGTGTTATCATATTACTTTTATTATACTTTAAGGCGAAACGGACGCATATATTTTACTTGTCAAATCATTTATTCTAAAACTTATAAAACTTCGAAGATAGCAATTGAATAAAGGTACATTTGATTTTTGTTTCCGAAGAATATAGAGTCAAGAGCACTAGTATCTTTTGGATAAGCAAGAAAGCAGCCTGCACGGCTTCAGTTTTGTCACAAACTGAGACTTTTTACTAAAGGTTGGATTCTATTTTTCTTATTTGCCATATTATCATAATGTGACGGGACAGGACATATATTTTTTTTAAATAAAGTTATATCTTCACATAATATTGACACGTTTCCCAAGCATAAGGTCTGAAATGCATATATAACATAAAGATGTCCATAGTAAATTGTCACATAATCACATAAGATACTCTTAAATAACAAAATATGAGCCGTAAATGTAGTTTTTTTAAACAATAAATGCGTCATTATTTGCTTCTCAATGCTTTATATGGTTGGTAAATAAAATCAAATCCTCGAAAAATACCAATACAAGTTAAAGCAAAAAAAAACAAACTTCAAATCGCTCTACTGTAAAGTAGGAATTATGCAGAAGTAGCTTCATCATCATCATCATCATCAGCCTATTAATGTCCCCACTGCTGGGGCACAGGCCTTCCCTATGGATGGAACAGGGAGATTGGGCCATGACCCACCACGCGGGCCCAGTGCGGATTGGTGGGTGCTAACGACTGCAAATGCAGCCGGGACCAACGGCTTAACGTGCCTTCCGAAGCACGGAGGAGCTCGAGATAGTAAATTTTTGGTCACCCATCCAATGACCGACCACTGCGAAAGTTGCTTAACTTCAACGATCGCAGCCGAACGCGCTAGCCATCTGCGCCATCGAGTTCCTCAAAATAATAGCTTAATCCTATGGATAGGTCGATATGTAGGAGTACCACCCTAAAAAGGAATATTTTTCAAAATTTTATTTTACTTATTTATTTCTTGAATTCTTAATGCACAACTGTACAATGGCGGACTTAATGCCGTAGGCATTCTTTACCAGTCAACCATAGGGTGTTGTGGAGAAAATTAGTGGTAGGGTGCACATGTGAGGTGGAAATCACATTTAAAGCAGTAAACATAATTATTATAATAATATATATTAATTAAATTACACAATAATTATATACATACATATACATACACACATATATATATGCATATATATGTGTGTGTGTGTGTGTAGGAGCTCGATGGCGCAGATGGCTAGCGCGTTCGGCTGAGATCGTTGAAGTTAAGCAATTTTCGCAGTGGTCGGTCATTGGATGGGTGACCAAAAATTTACTATCTCGAGTTCCTCCGTGCTTCGGAAGGCACGTTAAGCCGTTGGTCCCGGCTGCATTTGCAGTCGTTAGCACCCACCAATCCGCACTGGGCCCGCGTGGTGGGTCATGGCCCAATCTCCCTATTCCATCCATAGGGAAGGCCTGTGCCCCAGCAGTGGGGACATTAATAGGCTGATGATGATGTGTGTGTATATATATATATATATATGTTTGTCAGCGTGATCGATATACATGATCACAAAATAATAGCTCTCCAATGCTAATAGTGTCCAAGCAAAACTTGGGACGGACAGAAGGACATGACGAAACTATAAGGGTTCACGGAACCCTCAAAACGTGAGTGTCGTGGAACGAAGTTAAAATTAAATACCATATAGGGAGGGGAAAGTACTTAATTAAACTACAAGACATGGTGAAAACTAGATCAAAGACTACCGCGGTTGAGTAAAATTACCTTAAGAAGAAGAAGAAGAGAAGAACTTCAATAAAAAACAAAATGGGTGCGTGTACTTATGTAGGCGCGTGAGAAGTTATCCTTCTTTGGCATCGTTTAAAATTAGTTTTTAATTGCATGCAAATAATTAATTACAATAAATTAATAAAAAGTCTGGAAAAGGACACAGTCAATAAAGTTGAGTTTTAATTTGAAAAAATAAATAAATAATCAAAATATTCAATTAAAATCGCTACTGAATATAATTTATTAGAACATATGTGATTTGCACTTGTATGAAACTCAAACACGTATTCCGAATATACAAACTAGAAACATGTGGATAAATATTATAAATATGAATACCTATAACTGTTACTTTATTACAAAAAATAAAGATGTGGGTTTTGGTTCTACTACACCAATGGTCAAGAGATGGCGCTGTAGTCTCCTGAATCGCGCTTTGGTTCCGTTGTTCCAGATTAATAAATACTTTTGATAGGCCTTCACAATGCAGTCGTTAGCACCCACTAAATAGAGATTCTATTTCTATTTTGTTGGTAGATTTTCTTAATGTGCGGTAAACACAAAAGTAACGCATGAAGTTGGTCGCTAAAGCGAGCGAAGGATAGCGAAGGGTGCGGGTTCGAGTCCCGTCTGCTGCCTGGTCCGCGTGATTTTTTTTCTAGTAATATTTTTTTTAGATTTAAAAATCTTATATTTTTGTTTCGCCTAGCTCTCATCTGCCGCTCCGTGCGAAAAGGAACTTTTTTCCAAAAAACGCCTTTTGATTCGCGTATTTGCAGTCTAAGTTGTTATAATAATACCAGGTGTTTATAAAGGAGATCGCTCAAAGTGGCCCAAATGTACAAAAAATATTGACATACACGGTAATTTTCGGCGTAATTTATACTTTATTTTACAGTCATTAGATTTTAACGGACACCTTTGTATAATATATTCATTTTAAAAAGGACTTTTAATTTTACCGGTTTCGAAAACATACGAATCATTTTTAATGGCTATGGGTGTAGTAACATTCAGCCAAAGACTGATCGAATTTGTTTAAGTAACATCAAAACAAATCTATTTTGTAAAGATCGATACATTAAAACATTTTTTTTACTACGCTATGGAATTATTATCCACAACTATATTATCATTTTCACTACATGCAAATGTGCTAAAACCAGTATTATAGATTGTAGGCGACATCATAAAGTCTATTGTCATACATTTTTCGCCAAACACCTCCTTAAACGCATTATAAGGTGTGATATACTAAACTTCTAAAATATGGTTATAATATAAACATAGCAAAAATAATGAAGCTACTGAATATATGGCTGTATAATCTAAATCTCTTAGCTTTCGTTGGTTAACAAGAGTTTAAAAATTCTCTCTAATCTGTGGCTCATTCCATCGCACAGTTTCTGTCACAGAGTGCCTTATTATAACCGGAAATGCATAGATGATACCTGATTTTAAAATTTACTCTTGTGCATTTACTTTAAAAACAGGCAACTGTCTGTTAATCCACATGCTCTGTATACCTGAATCTAATCCATAATTTCGGTACTTGGCTTGATTTCCCTAGTTTACTATATAACTTATTTGTTTTTTTATTATTTTAATACCTGTTTGCAAACATTACCTCATAATCATTCAGTGTATATGGTTTATGGAAGTTCTCAGGGGTGTCCGTCAATAATATTCGTTTCTACAGTAATTTATATATAATTTCGAATCTAGGAAACAATTTTTCATGATTATTGGTTTTTAGGCCAAACATGTATGGAAGCTGAGCAATCTCCTTTAGTTATAATTTTATAAAAACAAGCCAGATGTGCATCTTTGAAAGGGTGACAGTGTGAAAGTCGGGAAAGAAATTTCCGCACCTCACTGGTGTTAATATTTGGGGAAGGGGAAGGTAGGGAAAATCGGAATGCGCGGATGGATCATAAATAATATAATAAGATGGAATTTAAATGAATTTTGTTCAAATTACAAAAATATATAAAAATCTTCATGTATAAAAATTTTACCTGATTACCTATTTCGAGTCAAAAGATCAGCTCGCTGAAAGACCGATGGGTATATCCATCTGTCTGTCAGCGAATATAGGCAACAGAGGTTTCGTAATAGGATCCTGTTGTCCAAGTTCTCAAACCATAAGCTGAATTAATGCGTTGACATAAGACACATTTTTTGTTTCCTCTAGGATTACACTTTTAAAGTTTAAGAGAACCAAGTCGTG